ACATTGGCACCTCCTATCCTCGACCAAGGCAGTAGGTACGACATCGACCACGGCAGACTCGTCCGCGAAATTTGTTCTGTCACGATCGCGGACGGCTATGTCCGCATCCGAGTCATCGCATTCACTATCGCAGCTCCAGTCATGAATGTCCGAGTCCATGATGGACTGGAGCACCTCTTCAGCCAATATTCGGCGACTCGCCGTGCCTGAGGGACAGCTAGAGAGACCTAAAGTATGTTCCGTCAATCTAATTGTTTCTGAATCGAAATATGTTTTTCGCCCGAGCGCTCTGAACATATGCTCCCGCACCCTTACTTACTCAAACACGGCGAGAGAGGTCTTGTTCAATAGGGGAAAACCCCTAGTTTCCCCTCGAAGAGCCACAATCGGCCAAGGTAGATTGTAGTGCATGGCCGGTGAGATATAGTAGTGCGCACTACGATTACGAGATATCTCGTCCTTGGCTAATTGCGTGGGGGTCTGTAGGACGAGTTATCTCGTCCTTGGCACTATTATTCATATTATTATTATTATTATATTAAAAACATGTCCGCGTAGGTGGCGGGGGTACCACTTTCGCTTATGCCATTCAGGATTGATGTCTGAAGAGTAATACGATACAATGAAATGACAGAAGTGACGTCAACAAAAGCCGTTAGCAACAATACCAATAGGACTAATGGAAAACTTCATCCAAAGTATAAAATAAAGTAGAATATGCATACAACATGCCCGGCGAAATAAAGTGGATCACGAGAATAAGTCCTGTTAGGTGGGGCAAGCTCCACGCCATTCCTGTCGGTCCGCTGCCATTGTGCGGACTGCGTCAGCATCTAGCGGCTGGTGGATGGTAAGTCCATGCCATGATGACAGTTCCGTCTGCAAGACCGTTACCAAAGTCGTCCGAGGTCGACCCCTGAAGCGTTCAGTGCCCTCGTCGTCCTTGGCAGATGTGTCTGTGACCCCCAGTGTGGTTACGGTTGGACCTGGCAGGTCCTGTGCGGTAGTTGTGTTGGAGAATCACTCTGACTATCCAGTACAAATTGCTAAAGATGTTGGTATTGCACAATTATCTCCTGTACCCGATAACTTGATTGGAGAGGATGATGATCCTGTTGATTCATCTGTTGCGGATATGCAACCGTTTGTGCTATCCCCTGAACGTGCCGAGATAATCCGTACGTATGTTGAGTCTCGGAATCATCTGGCAGCACCTGAACAGGGGCGTAGCAGCCGCTCCGGCTGGTCCGGCTTTGGCCGGACCACTTTTTCGCCCGACCACGACCACCATAGTAAAACAATGCCAAAAGTGCCCAGAATGCAGGATTTTGCACCCTAATTTCAAAAAAATTCCGCGGGGCAGATCCCCCCGACCCCCCCCCCCCCCCTGGCCGGACCACCGCCAACGGCGGTGCTACGCGCCTGCTGAAAAGAACAGGCTGACAGAGCTTCTTCGTGAGAATCATGACTTGTTTCTCTTGCAGGAGGGTGATTTTGGTTCTTGTGATGTTTTGCCACATAGTAGTAGTGCTGGTGATGTACAGCCAGTTAAGCAGCCTACGCGCTCTTTGCAAGCTTTGCTGGATGATCTGTTGTCCCGTGGTATACTCACTGAGTCTATTAGACCCTGGGCGTCGCCCATAGTTCTTGTTCCCATGAAGGCCGTTTCTCTCCGATTATGTATCGACTACCGCAAGTTGAACAGTATTGCGGAGCCAGATGCGTATCCTATCCCACGTGTTGATGACACATTGGACTCACTCTCTGGCTGTTCATGGTTCACTTGCCTGGATTAAGTGTAAGGATATTGGCAGGTTCCTAAGCACGAGGACGATACGGCAAAGACTGCCGTTACGACACCGTTGGGTTTGTGTGATTTCTTGGTTATGTCTGGCTGTAGAAATGGTCCAGCGACGTTCCACCGTGTAATGGAAGCAGTGCTTCATGGTTTATGTAGTGCGTCTAACCAAGCATTCTGTCAAGTATTCTTCAACAGTGTATTGAATGCCAGCTCTACCTTCACTGGACAGCTCCAGATCCTGCAGTCTGTATTTTGCCGCGTTTGTACTGTTGGACTAAAGGTAAACTTGGAAAAATGTTCTTTTTTCCAATGGAAGGTGCTCTTCCTTGGCCATGTAGTTTCGGCTGAAGGTTTGGCTCCGGATCCCACCAGGGTTGAGGCTATTGTGAAGTGGGACGTACCCCAGTCTGTACGAGGTGTACAGGTGTTTCTGGAGTACGCAGGGTTTTACCGCCGCTTCATCCGTGGTTTTGCTCAGCGCTCCGCTTCACTAAATGTATTAGCAGGCAAGGGTGCAAGCTTTACATGGACTAAGAGTAGTGATGCGGCGTTGACGTCTATGAAGCGGTCACTGACCACAGCCCCAGTGTTAGCCTATCCTGACTTTTCTGTCTCGTCTGACAGCTTTGTTCTAGATACTAATGCAAGCAAGGTGGCCATTGGAGCTGTCCTCAGTCAAATTCAAGATGGCGAGGAACACCCATTGCCTTTGGCAGCCGGGTATTGACGAAGGTAGAGAGGAAGTACGCGTCAGACCGGGAAACACTTGCCCTTGTGCATTTTGCCAATCAGTTCCGGCACTATTTGCTAGGTCGGAATTTCATTGCCCGTACTGATAACACTGCCCTCACACCGTTGATGTCCATTAAGGAACCACGCAGTCGCAAAGCTCGGTGAGTGGAGCAACAGTATAGCTTCACTTCTGTTCACCGGCCTGGTCGGCAGTACTTGAATCCAGATGGTCTGCTGCGTACCTTGTTGCCGGAGGCGCATCGATCCCATCTCGAGACTTCTGCAGATCCCCTGCCGCAACGGCATCTGAGGATGTCGCAACTCCTGTATTAGCTGGCCTCTCCGAAACTGAGTTGGCTGCTGCCAAAGCTGTGGATGTCAACCTCTCAGTGGTTTTGCCCAGGTACAATGCGGTGAGTGGAAAATTTGTTTGCCCTCCCGAAGGTTTCTGGCACTAGTCGTACCATGCGTTCTCGGCTAATGCAGTTGGATCAGAAGGAATATTCGGTTCGCATCTGATGCCTCACGGTGCCTGCTCTGCAAGCCGTCGACCATGACCCTAGTTGTAGCCTGCTGTCGTCAGAGCCCATCTCGCTCGCAATGCTGGAGTGCCTGCTTGGTTTTGCTATGTCCTGAGTTTTTTTCTCTGTTTTATTTCTCTATTCACGAGGGCGTGAATTTTTGGTAGGAGTAGGATAGTGTAGCATGGCTACTTCATCACACGTAATTTGTATACACATAAATAGTACACCGTAGGAATGCATGGATAGCAGTGCGCATACTCGCACTGCCCTGGGTCTTCTTCTTCTCCTTGTGAGACAATGAACGAATGATAACTACTTACGTAACTACAAGTATGTGCTTTGAGTGCTGAGACTGTATATCAGTTACACAATTACCTACTTCATTCCTGATGATGAATATTTTTATGACCAAAACGTTGAATCTTTTCCCTGAAATGAATTTGTGAAAAGCAGAGATTGAGTGTGAGCCAGTGTTGCTCACAAGCCAATTTTTATCTATGGACGTTATCTTTCAAAACAATTTGAACTATTCCATTGCTTTGAAACTGGATTGTTAGGGGACTGTGGAGTGCCCACAAATCAAACTGGAGGTACATATCCGATAGGACGTGATACAACCACAGGAAATTCCAAGACAATAAGTTGTTCTGATGGATATGCCGTCAATCTCAAAACAATTGGTTTAATTAATACTTCCTCCGCGTCATCGTAATTGTCGCAGTTTGACTAGTGACTTGTCACTTGTTACTGACAACTCCATAAGCTAAGCCATTCAAAACTTATTCCACAATATGATAGTCTGAAGACTAGAGTAACGTTCCAGGACAGTTGGACTGAGAGTTTTCAGGCAGAGATGAAGTCCTCGTCGTCGCTGATGTCTATGGACGCAAAAATATCGCTCCGAAATATTTCAAGGAAGGTTGAAAGTTGGTCGCGCCTCATCTCAAACGCTTTGACTTTCTCCACAGGACAAGAGCTGCCTTGCTTGTCGTCTGCTAGCTCTGGATGATTTCTACTTCACCACCAACGAAGCCTAGTAAGAATACACGATCGTTGCGAGGTCGGTTGATTATCGTCGGCGGAATCACCTCGATGTTGAAAAGAACTTTTTTTAGCCGTGGCATGCCCATTTATTTTATCTGTGTGGTCACAGCTCATGCAGGTAAGTGTACTATCACGTCCAGCGCGCCCTCTTTTTCAGCATCATTGGTATACCATGGTACGGCACCTGCGCGTGCATCACTAGCACTACGTGTAGAGTCTACACAGCTCTTGCAGGTACAATCATGTACTGAGTGTCTCGGCCAGAGCGACAGATTTTATCGCTGTTGCAGGCATTTAGTTTGCTGACCCGTCGATGTTTCTCCAAGAGCTGCCACTTGTTCCACGAAGTCATTCTCACCCCAGCTCAGGCAAAACAGTGACGAAGCTTGAGTGAATGGCCATAAGCACGAGAAATGTGCAGGCTGCAACGCCTGACTGATCTCAGCGAGTCGAAATTACCATCGCTGCGACATCAGCGAAGAAACTGCGTCTTGTTCAAAAATTCCAGCTTCCAATAACAGAAAATAGAACTTTGCCGTCACCCTATACTGATGGCTATCGCCTATGTCCGATTCCTTGCCTCTGGTACGAGTGCTGGTGAGTAAATACCCCGTTTTATATCAAAAGTCAAACTGCGACAATTTCGATGACGCGGAGGAAGTAGACCGATCCCCTTATTATTGTCTGGGTTCGAGCAAGGGGGCTATTCCGCGATTGCATGGATCCTACTTCACACACGCGACCTGAATCACCTCGACTGGGCGTGACTTCTCACATGCGAAGTGCAGGACATGAGAATTATGGAATTTGATGCGAGTCGAGATTTTTCCCGAGCTTAAAGGGTAAAATAATATGTATCTAATCATGATTTTTGTATTTCTAATCCGCTGCACACACAGGGGACTGTGGATCACCACCAGACAATATTCCTCATGGTACATTCCCAAATGGAAGTCCAACAACAGCTGGAAGTAAACTCACGGTGATGTGTGTTACTGGATATACAGCTGATACTACTACATCACAGAACATATCTTGTGGCACTGATGGTAATTGGACAACGACGCTTACGAATCCTTGTATCCGTGAGTATTTCTAATGTTCTAAGGACACACGCCCAATAAGCACATAAAGCATAGTGTCTTGCATCAATTAACCCTCTGCGTGCTGAGTACGAGCTCAATCGCGCTTTATGCATGACCTGATCCACTACTTGGTCCGCGTCAGCGATATTGTCGCTCATCTTTCAGCTTTGTTAATATGTCGCCAATGCTCACTTGGCAGCCCATTTCATCCCAATTTTGGTTAGCAAGTTAGTTTACTAGTACCTGAAAGGTCTAGCTAGAGTTCGAGTGGATTTCGAGAGCGATGGGTGGGTGATTCTGATTGATACAGCGCCGCATCAAAATAGATTATCGTGTTACGCTGTGCAGGTAAGAGCAGAGCAAGCCACAAAAAAGGAATCGGCTACTCGGAATCAGCTCCATTTTGCTGAAGGGCCAAGATCGCTCACCTCAGTGATCGCTCAAGCTGAGATCGCAGCTCCTATACCTCCAGCTCAATGCTCGGAGTATCCAGCGCGTCGTGGAGATTTGCAAGTACTGTACGCGTCGTCGTCGTCGTTCAAAATAAAATCTTGCAAAGAACGGCGTCTGATTTGAACCACAAAGGCTGTCGTGCTGCCCACGCAAAGTCCTATAGAAAAGGCGACCGTCACGATCGACTTCTCTTTAGAAAATAGCCAGGCAGCGGAGAGGAAGAGAGATGAGCTTGCAAAAGCAAGAGAGTCGATCCCGAGCAAAAATATGTGTCACCATCGCCGAGAGCAGCGACGACGAGGACCGAAAAAGTAGGAACCCTTCCTTGGACAATAAATTCCTCATAGCTAGTTGTCATTCTATACCTTACCGTCCATCCTACCAAGTTGTATCACTTCAAGTGCACGCGTTCATGTCCGAAGTCTAAGCTCATATTGTCAAAAGATTAGCGACAATATTGCTGACGCGGACCAAGTACGTAGGAGTTAACTTCCAAAAAGATTCGCACGATATATCGCAGTGCATAGACCAGTGTACAAACTGACGTAACTTTGTCAAACATAAACGCATCGCAACAGTCAATACACAGTTGGAAAGGTCTTGACCTCATCTGTCCAGAGATATAAGGTTTGTCGCGATAGGATAAGAATTCATTGAGCGGCAAGAAGATGAACACGGAAATCACGGGCCAGAAGGAAAGCGAATTATTTTGTTCAAAACTCCTTTTTGTTGAGGAGCGTGCCAGGGGATTTACCTTTGGCACGGCGCATGCGTGATGGACATCAAATGAAGCGCTTGGATCTCAGCTTTGCAGCGCAGTTTGAATTGTGAAAATCGGTTGAATTTGGGCAATAAGCCGAACAAGAATGTGAAATTGAGTTGTTGTGCCGTTCCGAGGCACGGTGGAGTAGTTTGGAGAGGACGTGAAAGTGTCCCTGATGTGTCTATGGAGCTGAGAGCTGCCAGGATGGATTCGCTTGCTCCCGATCTTTACAACGAGCCCAGGATGATAAAAATCCATCAAGGTGGAGTGAAATGAGAATAAATTTCGTTCGGAGCTGGAATTTGATGCGAGTCGAGATCAAACAGCTCAGTGTGCGTACATTTTTTCCCGTGCATAAAGGGGTAAACAATATGTAACTAATCATGATTCTTGTATTTCTAATCCGCTGCACACACAGGGGACTGTGGATCACCACCAGGCAGTATTCCTCATGGTACATTCCCAACTGGAAGTCCAACAACAGCTGGAAGTAAACTCACGGTGATGTGTGATACTAGATATACAGCTGATACTACGACATCACAGAACATATCTTGTGGCGCTGATGGTAATTGGACACCGACGCTTACGAATCCTTGTATCCGTGAGTATTTCTAATGTTTTAACCCTTTGTGTACCAGCCCCATTTCGAACCGTACCATATGGTACGGTTCGCTGCACTCCAATCAAGCACGCCGGTCCCCGCCGCGTAGCTTCGATCGAGGCGCGGTTTTTGCGCTGGACAGCTGAGATCCCGCTGAAACTTTTGATGTACGACATGGGCAGGTTGCCATTTGAAAGTATGGAGAACGAACGCGGTGAAAAGTACGCTTTTCAGCGCAAACAATTGTCGCTGTTTCGATCGTGTTCTCGCTCAGTTTCTCTGCTTGTAGCAAAGATGTAGCTTGTTCTAGGTCATGTCGACGTCTTCTACATGTGGTGGACGATTCGAGAGATCGGCTGTGACGATATCATCGCGGAATGCGACTCGAAATTGAAAATTTGTATCGCTGACCCCATCGCAGTATTCGCTCTCAAAACAGGAGCGAGAGGGAGGGCAGCGATGGCCTAAAATTGTCAAGGCAGGCGTAATTCACCAACCAGCGACTGCTTCTTGTCTTCTCTTTCACTTACCTGACGCTGGATGTGAGTAGGTGAAGAAAAATACAGATTTCGAATCTGACACAAGAATTCAAAATTTGCAATTTTGAACCAATTGTTTCACCTCAAATATGTGACAATATGACCATATCCCTGGTATGTTTTTGCTCTTCATACGCTGAGACAACGCTTATGAGGTTGTTTTGTCCCTATGTTCCCGGTACCAGAGCCGGCGCCACTTCTACGGCCGGTACGGCCATGGCCGTACCAACTTCCCAAAAAGTCGGTCCACGTGGAACGTCCAAAACCGGGGAGAAAAAGTTTCGATGTATGATTTTGTACAGGGAGTCGCCCAGAGTGCAGGATTTGCCGTTTAAATTCCAAAACAATTCTGGGGCAGGACCCCCGGACCCCCCCCCCCTTCGGCCGCACCGCTCCGCAGAACCTGCCTCCGGCCCTGGGTACATGAGCACAAACTAATTCTCAGTCTTTTTGTTTGTGATACCCTGGTTGGTCAGAAATATGCACAATTGGCGCGTATTTGGGGTATTCCACCTATGGCCTTCATAAACTACTGCATGCCGTACCAATATCCATGCTTACCTTGGTGCAGTGATACATCTGGAGTCAGGAAAACACAACTTGCTTATACAAAAGTTGTCTAGATTTCATACCATGGTTGCTTCTTTGGCTGCGATCGCCCCTTACATACATTAGATGGCTGGTACATGAAGGGTTCAGGACACATGCCCAATAAGCACATAAAGCATAGTGTCTTGCATCAATTAACGGGGAAAAAATATTTTTTCCGAAAATGGTGGATGAAAAAATAAATCTTGCGTGGCCGCTTTGCCCTGCCTCGTGTCAGCAAAGCAGCTTTCTTGTCAATAATTTCTGTCATCCAGTTAGTCAAAGTGACTCAAGGTCGTGTTTTCTCCGTTTTCTCCTTTGTCTCTCCGCCAAGCTGTACAAGAGTATCAGTTGTGCTAGTCTGCGTAGACAAGCGCTGACTCGTGTGAGCTGGAAGCGCTTGAAAATTCACAACTTCAAACAGCGATCGATCGCGCTTTGTTGAAATATTTATTTGTTGCGTGGGCAGATAGAGTAGCTCATGGTCGCAGTTGTGAATTTCCTGGAGTTCATGAGGCCAAGCAAGAACTACTCGAAGCAGAGGACCAGTTATTTAGGCCTCGACATGGCGAGTGGCGTTGACGCCAACTCAGAAATGGCTGTGATTACCTGTCAAAAAATCTAGCCAAAGAAGTAGACAAGGAGCAGAGGCATTTACATGGACAACGTACGATGGTGGTTTGCAACATGCTACTACTGCTGGAGCAACGTTGAGTGCAGGGACGATCGTTGATCATCTACGTATCAGGTGTGGTTGTCAAACTCTTGTGGCCTTCGATGTAGATATGAAGATTTTATGCCCACTGTGCGTTCGTTATGCACCACATCTGCTGTGCACGTGGCATTACCCTATCTCAGGGAGAAATCATCAACCCAATCATTCTGGGTAAAACTATTCCTGATAGTTGTGCAGGCCAGCACAAGAACCAGTACGCTGCACTAAACAAGGTGCTTATGTTCGTGTGCTTGATGGTCAATGGAATGAGTTCAACTGAAAGCAACGGTTCCGCAGGTCTTCGACAACCTCAGCAAGGTGGTCGGCCCAGCAACAGTGGTGACGGTACTTGGCATAGAAGTCGACAGCGTGGACCAGGTGATGCGGCTACCTGGCCAGAAGATATTTGCCTTTCTAGCGGCTTTGAGTGAGTAGTCCACGTGCACTAGCTACACAACGCGGGAACTGCTGTCGCTGATCGGAACCTTGTCCTTGCCACAAAGGTGGTTCCTCCTGGCAGACCTTCATCCGTCAACTCCTGTATCTTAGCTGGACAACTCTGTCTCTTCAGTCAGTAGTCAACATCAACACAGAAGCTCACTTGGACATCGAATGGTCGCGCTCCTTTACCGCAAACTGGAATGGCCAATTCTTCTTCTATGATGTCAAGTGTTCAAAGTCCCCTGACCTTGAGCTATTCACGGATGCCTCTGATGTTGGCTTCTGCGGTTTCTATCAAGGACAATCATTTTTGGGGCAATGGGCCGCTGAGATGCAGCATGAACCTATTGTGATTACTCGCTTCCGAGAACTGGCTTCCACAGCCAACCAATGCCTGGTGCCAACTCCTCCGCTGAACTCGCCGCTCTGATTGCTGCCAGCAATGATCTCATGAGCGACTCAGACCTTTAAGCCCGGTATTTGCGCACACATAATCTGATGTACCCAGTTTCGGCTATGGCCGAGTTCCGGTCCCTGACCGCTACTGCCGGCAGCTCACGGTCAGTGTTTGTGTTCGTCGGCGGCAGCTACTTCTCCCGAGTTTGCTCGACTAAGATCCTCAACTGCAACCGGGTGAGCTCCCATTCTGTGCGCATTGGCGGGGCCACACTCATGGCTCACCGGAGTACAAGTGTCTGTGAAGCAGCCATATGCCGTGCAGGCTGCTGGCGAAGTGCAGCGTCCGATCACTATGTCAGGCGTGCAGCCGGTATGCCCTCTGTGCAATGGTTAGCAACAAAGACTGGAACAGCTCGCGCCCATGTGGTGTTGAGAACAGAAGTGAGGTACATTTGTAGTTTGTACAGTGTCGTGCCGTCCGCTTGTTGTGCAGTCCTTGTGCCGGTGTGGCTCTGTGGGTATCACTCAGGGGTTTGCCATGGTTACTTGTAGGAAGTTATGCTAATGAGCGATGCCGTGAGAAATGCTTGGTCGTGAACACTGGTTTTTGGGAGGGTCAAATGCATTTGCCTCTCAGTGTTGTGCTGTACTGTCTCAGTGTTGTGACGCCTGTATGTTGTTGTGTGGTTGACCCGCCGGTTCGAGGCATGGGTGGTCAACTGTGTATGTTGTATCGGTGTGTTCCCGTTTGAAGTTGCCAGGCCACCATGTGGTTGACCCGCCGGTTTGAGGCATGGGTGGTCAACTGTGTCTTTTGTATCGGTGTGTTCCCGTTTGAAGTTGCCGGGCCACCATGTGGTTGACCCGCCGGTTTGAGGCATGGGTGGTCAACTGTGTCTGTTGTATCGGTGTGTTCCCGTTTGAAGTTGCCGGGCCACCATGTGGTTGACCCGCCGGTTTGAGGCATGGGTGGTCAACTGTGTATGTGTATCATTGAAGTTGCAATACGGACATTGCTGTGACTCGCCCGATTGCTGTTGCCGGGCACCTACGCATTTATTTGCCTACTTGTGAAGAGATATCTCTTCTGGTTTATTGCATAATTCTTGGTTCAATGTTATCCACGGTGTCGCTCGATGCAAAGTTCGTAAATATTTATCAGAGACAATTGGAAGAAAGAAAAAAAACTATGCCAAACCCCACTTCCTTGTATTCTATCTGCTTGGTGTACATGTGTCCACGTTTTGTACGTTTGGCATGCACATGCGTGTGTGTGTGTGTGTGAGAGCGTGTCTGGATAAATGTGCATATTGATGTTTTGTTTGTTTTAAGTTTTATTGTGTGTATGCATGCATGCATGTGGGTTAAAATCAAATTGTCACCAGTTATAGTCTTCGGGGTGCTGAGTCGAATGGTCTTGGTCCGAGGAAGCTGAGACGTTTCCTTTCTCCTATATTTCCAATCGAACTCGCACCCTTCCACCGAAACTGGGTGACTGCGCCTTACTAGATGGCGATTTGTATGCAAAATGTCACTAAAAACGCCATTTCGTTCTTATAAAAGCACTAATAGAGAGGTTCCGAGGTACGATTTTCCGTGCCAAACTCCGTATGGGCGCTACGAATTTTTTCAAGGCGTGCTCCATACGATTTTTCGGCACGTAGAATCCGTGTGGACTGGCTTTCATACGAACCATGTTTCGTATGGAGATTTTGCGTCATCGGGTGCAGAAAGATTTTTCGCGTACAAATTTGGCACGAGAAACATCGATTTTCCGCGGGAAGTTTTGATTTCGGTACAAATTTTCAAAATAAAAAGGCATAGCGCGGGAATGTGACGTGTTAGCGATCGTAGCCTAGCAATGACGGCAAACACATAAGTTCCGTACTCCGGAATATTTCACTGCTCGAAAACGACGTATAAAAAATCCATAGCGCCTCTACAGATTTTGGCACGAAAAATCGTACTCCGGAACCTCCCTAATGACCGCGATTGGCCCATATGTTGTAGTCTTTTGGATGCTGAGCCTATTGGTTTTGGTCCAAAAAGGCGGCGATGTACTATTCGGCCCTTATTCCCAATCGAACATGGCTGAACAAGCGGTCACGTGCTCATGCGTACACCAGTCACCTGGTCACCGTGCCAACACGCGACAACTTTCACACCAAGGTTCAACACAAAGGTTCAAAGGTTCGACTCGAGTGACGTAAACTCGACCAAACATGCTGTAAGTTGTAGCCTGCAGGCACGGTGACCAGGTGACTGGTGTACGCACGAGCACATGACCGCTTGTTCAGCCATGTTCGATTGGGAATAAG